GGATACGTTGCATCTTTTAATACTGAAATCTGTCCTACTCTTTAAGAGGCAAGGGCAAATTCTACATCTGCGTTCGGTTCTATGTGCTGGCGGATAAAAGAGCGCCCACCAATCGCCGAATCTGAAACAAAGATAGACTTTGTGAAAGTTGCTCTAGAGTTTACTCCAAGTTGTCCTATGACACTTGATTCATCTGTGAATTGATCTTAGTCGCACGTTCTCGGGCAGCAGTGAACTTTTTCGTTCCGCTGCCAAGATAGTTTGCCCCCGCAGGAGATGACGCCAACAATATTGCCTGAAATTTCACTCTTTATGATTTATAAGTGCAGCTAATCAAATCAGTATATACAGTGACCTCAAAAAATTCAAATTTGGTGCAACCCTCCTTAAAGTAGGATATTGGGACCTTTCCCGAAATAGTTTACAACGAAAACACCGTCGACATTTTGCCTGGGGGGAACAGACCATTTTCACGACCTCCAGCCATATCTGGACCATTTTTTAAATTGAAAAATGATGATTGAGTCCGTTTTCGCGAGGCATGAAAAGTAAATGAAAGGAGATAAGCCGATTTTTTTAGAAAAATAAGATGTAAAAACCCGTGAACTTATTTGTGTGCAATAGCGAATAAACCGACCCGACGCAATGACTGAGAAAATAACCCAAATTTCAACTGAACGGATCTCATGAGCTCCTATGGATGTGTCACACTAATTCATCCTCCAGACCACGGTGGTGGTGGCCCGTCATTTCGATTATTCCAACCCTCCTCAAGGCCATAATTTGACGGCTGAAGTCCATCGTTGTTGCCCACCCAGGTACCTGAATCTAGGTCAAAACCGCCAAAGTCCAATGGATTACCTGGATTTGAGAACTGATCGAGTAGAAATATATCTACGCCGTGAAACCCTTCGGGATCATAGAATTGAGAATTAGACGTCACATAAGGACGTAAGGGCATTATTGGCGGCCCCATGGGCAGGCCCTGGTCATAGGCTGTTGTATACGGTGTAATCTGCACGTTCTCGACAATCGGGGACATTGATAGCATCGGTGGCGTTTGAGAATATATGATTCGACGCTTCGATCCAGGTGGGGTTGATGCTGGCGATGTCGATAGCGGTGATGTCGAAGGCGGCGATGATCTTGCGGGCCCTTAGTAACATGAGTAAGTGTATGTATCCTAAAATTTCAGTATCTTTATGAGCATACCTGATACGATAGCTTTATGCGTAGCTATCCTTTCTCGGGGGGCACCGGGATATGTGTTCTTTGGGTCGTCTCCAGTACTCTTCAAGCTTGATAGCACTGCAGCACATTCTTTTTCTTCCACTGCTCTTCTTTGACCTGAGCTGTTGATCGCACGAATACCCAATTTTGCCATTGCACCCGCGACCCACCACCATTCGCCGTAGTACGTAAGTTTCTCAATACAATAGGTATATTCTGAAATACATTTACCGTGGCCTTCACGTACTTGTGCATAAAAGGTTGTTAAAGCAAGCGATAGTGCATAAGGCAATATGGGCGTCGGTGGGAGCGGCTCTTTACTTTCGCTGAAAATTTGTATAACGCTCCTGGCGGCATTTAGACGACGCGTGTACGAATGACTGTGAATTTGATTTTGAGTACGTGTGCGGTGGGAGAGGATAGAAATGGCGTAGTAAAATAATTTGAGAATAACTGCAACACATCAGACCAAAACCTTAGCAAGACTAGAGACTATGGTTTACCTAGTTGGCCTCCTTCCGGTACTTCCTCATCTTGTAAATGAGTCTCGAATTCTGGAAACAGGTGTTCCCAATCTCTCTCATTCCCAGGGCGATACAGGGCGATGACTGACTCCAGAAGCTCGGCGAGCTTAACCATAATACGGAATCCTGCCCCCCTTCCACCCTTCAGTTTGGTGGGCCGATCAATGCTTACGTCTTCCAGTTTCACTAGGATGGGCCTCCCGTTCATGGCAGCCTGAAGTTTATCCAACGTCCATAGACACCACCATAACTCCTCAGCTCTGGAATTCCTGATATGTAGACCTAGTGAGTGAGCATGATGGATCGCCATTGCTAAGTTACGGCTCGATTCGTTTCCTCCGCCCAGTGATAATAGCGCATATACACGCACGAGGTTCATACGATCACGCTCATCATCTGCGTATAGCAATGCTTTGATGCGTGTTTCAAGACGCAGTGAAAATTCGGAAGGTTTCAGGAGTTCACCAGACGCCGATAAGCGCAAATGCGCTGCCGCATCAGCATGCCGAGAGGCAACAAGTAGTATACTTTGTAGTAACACAGTCGGAATCTTGTCCGGGGTTCTAAACAACGCACAAGTCGCATCATCGATTATCGGAAATAAAGGATGAATTGAATTATAATACAGCCCGAGCAGTATTTCCATACAGGACCGAGTCGGAAGTGCATAGGCGCTTAACGAAGAAAGGTATGCTTCCAAGTGCTTTTCAGGTCCACATTCCGCGGCCGGAGCTACGGCTGTAGGTTTTTTAGAGCTCTCTTGGTCTTGAAAACGGCGCTTCAATCCTTTGTGCCTGAGCAGGGGTTCAGGTGATTGTGAGACCCAAACGCCCACCTCATTGCGGTCAGTTGCGACCTCAGACGTCGAAGCGGGATCAATATCGTTGGCCGTCAAGAATACGGATTCTGGATTAAGATCACCGATAAACCGTGGATTTTTATCAGTGATTGTATTCTGTTCGGCAGCATCTTCGTTGTCGTTGCGGGGTTCATCTGATGGCCATGTAGTAGTTTGTGGAGCCTCGGAATCAATCAAAGCCAGACTATTACACAAGTGTTAATAAAAGACTTTCTAGCGGGTAGTAGCCATGACCTGCACTGAATACCATCCTGAGCACAGCTTGCACAACGCTCGTGATTTTCGAATGGTGGAGGGCACTTTCTCTGTTTTCTGTCAGATTGCCAGCTTTCAACAAGTGGGTCCCTGGGTTGCCATATACCCGTCTGCTCTTGCACTGTTCACATGCGCGATGTGCTCTTTTGCGCTTTCTATATGCGCTATTGTTGGCGGCGAACACCACTTGAACCGCCTTTCCTCCAGTCATAATGGCCGCTTTAAAACAAGGCTGCGTCGATAAGAGAAGGAGGAGCGGATGATGAGACGACGAGACGAGGATGATGGTAGGAGCTAGTTGTTGTCGATGTGATTAATGAAAGTATAAGTAGAAACCCGAGAGTTGTGTTGTGAATGATTAATGTAAGTAGTGAAAGAGTGAGAGAGAAAGAGAGTTATGTTATGAGGAAGGGTGTGGTCGAAGAGGATGTTGAAGATATGTTTGACGTTGTAATCGGCTGGACCGTTTTCTCGAGATCAGCCGCGGCCACGCTAATAATATTGATCCACGCAGAGCCTCAGAAGCCCACTTGAGTATAGTACGATATTGGTGCGCACAGTATTTACTCGCGACCCTAAATATCATTGTCATCCATACATAATAAGTACTGGCTGGTGCAGAGGATCAGGCCCGTCAATAAAATCTATGCTCATGCCGCGGGTCATATGTGCTGTAGCTAGTTGTACAGGAAGAGCATGAACGTGAGGCGCACAGCGACGCGCAGCATGGGAGGGTACGGTGGTTCCACGATTGATATATGGCCGACAAGTAAGAAAAAGCGTTGAGTCCCTGAGTAATATATGTAATTCTCCATCCTGGCTTTTGAGGAGTCATTTCAATTGCTAAAGTACTCCTCGCAAACCCATATCACGAGTGGATGACATGATGGTTCACTGATAAAAATAGGTGATACAGATATGTCTACCCAGTTAACTTTAGTTGACAGTTACATGCTGTATGGGTTAGACTACACAAACCTAACCTATCTCAAACTACTCATCCCTGGCTCTCTGGCCCTAACCCCTCCCAACAAGCTTTTGAACTTGGACCGGATTGCAGCACACTAGACTCCTGGCGGTTAAACTACATGTATCTGAAAGGCGTTATATCGCCAAAACCGTGAAGAGATCATATCGTGCTTGCCAATCGTATATAAACGGTCCATCATCATTAAGGAATTCCGATTATTAATTATCAATTAATTTGGTCAACTCTATTGTACACGGGCTAAATCTATTAGATTTTGGAAGGTGGGATCCTTCACATGCATTTCTACAGTAGTAGAGTGCTTGAGCCCATTCAAGCGGACTCAAATGCTCTAGTTAACTACATCATGTAGATGTGATTCTCACAGGGCATATGAACATTTAGCAGCAAATCTGAAGGGTTAATATCGGTATAAATCGCGACTGACGCTACACATACCAAAGAACTAATACTCTCGGTCCTAGTAGGCAGAAGAGTTCACAGGTTTCGAGATGAGTATCTGTAATTTGAATTCGAAAGGTGCAGTGGTACATCGCCAGTTTATTCGACTTACTAGCTACAGCGAAAGCTTGCTATAACGGTACGCTCGGGACCGGAATTTGGTACCGTTATAGAGAGATTACCCTTATAGAGGAGGTGCTGGTGCTGAAAGGCAGGCGAAAAGGACCGAGAAGTGCTACCGTTATAGAGAGATTACCCTTATAGAAAGTACCGTTATAGCAAGCTTTCGCTGTAGATATATAGAGTACGTTACATAATAACCGCTATACCAGGTTACATTATCTTGGATTGCGAATGGATTCCGATTTTGTTTTGCAAGCTGTTTACTACATGTAAGGACCTAAACCCAGAAGAACAGAACAAGTATACACCTAGTACGCAAGGCAAAGCCTAAGCCAAGAAGCCAGAAGCACCCACAAACTCAAACACTATGAATTTTCTTCCATTCTTCAACCAAACCTTTATAGTCGATTGGACGATAAAGCCCAAAAAATAAAAAATTCTGTCAAAAAACCTTTCTTTCTGTTACTCTTTAAGGATAGCTCCTTCAGCATAACATCAATCATCTGAATTCAATCTGCTCAGCAACTTTCATCACATATATTTAACATACATGTCATGTAGTCATCATAATCATCAACTTTCAGGGGCGGAGTTGGCTTACGGGCAAGAAGTCATACAATATGTATGGGATCTTCTCTCCGACTGTCAGGTACCGTTTTTTCACCCACACATCTAGTAATGCCACCTCTTTCTCCATTTCCTTCGCTGAGATTTTCAATTCCAACTTCCCCGTCATCCAAGCCACAGCCCACACTGCATTGACTTCGGATACGATGGCCGTATACCCTGTCCCGATAGCACCGACAAAAACAAATAATCTATCATTACTTTTGTAGAGCTCAGTTGGGAGGATGCAGTTGTAGAGGCGGAACGGGGTGTGGGGCACATTTGGGACCCTATAAGAGGGTGGCGGTGATGCTAGTCGCGGGAATAGCTCACTAACCCTAAGCTCTGCTTCATGACCCAAACTCCTCCACTTCTGACTAAGTTCCTTGGGGTAGTAATCTTTGGGATATGGAAGGCCGAGGTGAGGGGCAGATGAAACTCGAAAACGTCCGGGGGACATAGAACCAGAGCGGGAGGGATCCTGCACTGTGGTGTTCCAGCCTGTAGCGAAAATGAGGGCGTCTACCTCAACATCAGTGCCGTCTGTCAATGTCACCTTTGACTGCCCTGAAAGCGACCCAATTCCTGCCCTGTAGACTGTGACTTTCTCGCTTTTGTGGAGAAAATCTAGAATCTCTGGCTTAGTTACTACACACGAATGTGTATTTTCCCAAAAGACACTGAAACTTTATGTCAGCCTTCCTTTCTTCAAAGCCTTCCAAGACAGGCCAACTATATAACTTTCGTTACAAACCTTCGATCTAGCATATCTGGCTTAAGCATCTTCAGATTATGACTCTTCTCATACCCCCATTGCCGATTCATAACTGAGGATACCAGTCCCCAATACGTCCACTGTAACCAGTATCCAAATCTACTCTTTCCACTGTGTAAAAACCAATACCACCATCCTTTACGAGCAAATACATTAGGGTGCCACTTTGACGCATATCGGCTTCAGCGACGGGGCACCAGACCCGTCTTTCCTAATAACCCAATACACATGCTTACCCAGATTTACACAAGTACTCACTACATCCAACGCTGACTTACCACCACCATATACTAGAACACGCTCTACCTTAGGTGCAGCGAGGCGCTCCAGTTGGGCACCTAGACCCTGTGAATGGGATTTCAGGCCAGTAAATCCAGTGTCCTCTAAGTCTGGAATGAAAGGCTGGGATGTTGTCCCTGTTGCCAGGATCAATTACTTATCACAATAAGCTATCCCTCTATCATTGGGGCCTTGATACTCTACACTCCACCCGGAGTCGTTGTGAACCCTGTCAATTGCCTGTATCTCATGGGACAACTTAATGCGGTCAAGTAACTTGAACTTTCGTGCGTAGGCTTCCATGTAACTGCACAACATCTCTGCGGGTATGAAGGCGTCGGATGAAATGCCCAGTGGAGTATCAAGAGGGAGGTTAGAGTATTCGGGTACGCCAAAGGGCTGTTGAGCGGTAGATTCTATCGCGGCTCCAGGGGCCACCAACGGTGCTGGCGCGCTCAACGATTGTGAGCTCAACTGTGGGGTCGATTTGGAGATAGCTGTAAATGACCCAAATAACAAATTAGGGGCCGCTCAATAGGTGCTGATTATAATAAAGTATATGTATACTGACGTCTTTGCTGTGGCCAATCCAAACCAGCCTGCGTGGAAACGTCAGTTTTGAAATCTTTAATTTAATTTGTGAAGTGGCCAGGATAATGATAATACCTGCGCCGACAATTATAATAATAATTAACTGAGAGAATATGCGGTGAAGACCAACAGGAGGTGCAGTCACTTCTTAAGGATAAATATCAGCGGGGTAATCTATTCTCATGTATTACAAGTTTTTTTTTTTTTTTTTTTTTTTTTTTTTTGTTCACAGACTTATGCACCATGGAGTACAATACAGTACCATGTATCTCAGCCCTACATATTTCAAACACGTGTTGGTGCAGGCTGCTACTTTAGTGGCTACGTAGGGCTGGTTTTTAGCTCAATCATTGATACATCGTCACTGATCAGCCCTAAAATACGGGAGAGCAGGGATGAGATAAATTACCAGAGTAGGGAATTAGACTACATCAAATAGCACCTGCAGAGGAACAGCTAAGGTTCGTCCCGCCGTCAGGAGTCAGGACAGCAGAGTACCTACATGTGTTGTCCTCTAGAGTACTTAAGCTCAAGCGTAGCTCTCAAACATGCATTGGCACACTCTGCTAGTCCCTGTGGGGTTGTGGTGGATCAGGTGTGCCGAGCCAGGATATCTAGCTGGACCTGAGGAGCGGTTTGGTCTTTCTGGAATTGATACAGCAGGAAGGTTTTATGTTTCCAGCCTTCAAGTACATGTTCTTCTGATGTAGGTATAGTTCTAGGACATAAATCATCGTATGGGGCGGCGTAGCAACGGGTTTCGACACCTCCCGCCCCATCATGACTACCCACCCAGCAACCACAATTGACCCTTTGGAGAGCTGTTTTTTTGTATAGTTGTTCAATAGTAGCTAAATAAAGATAATTGGACATTTAATATCTTGTATACCAACCCCTTGCCTTTATAACAGCTCTATTCTCCTAAGCATGCTCTCAACTAGCTACCAAATCTCTAGAGAATAAATCATCAGGTAACAGTTCCCAGCAATGAATTAGACCTTCCTCCATGAGGGGCTTCAATACTTAAGGTGATCTAGTATCATATCCCAAATGGGGGTAGTGTTGATGGTAAAGCTTCTTGGGGTGTGCTCAAACATGTTCAATGGGATTTAAGTCAGGGGAATAGGTAAGCTAGTCCTCCAGAACATCTACCCCACACTCCTCCAACCGCTGAGTTGTAAGGGTTGTGGTGTATACCTTTACAAACTTAATAGTTGTAGGAGCATGGGGTACACTGTCTCTGGGCGCCATCGGTGGTTGTGGAAAAAATTTGTGGTCAGGCATTGCAGTCAGGCGTTGCAGCGTTGCGACCTCACTCACACCTTCCGATGATTTATGGCATTGCGCTGTACATACATGTGCACGGTACATGATCTACATACATGTAGCTCTCGACTACCGATCTTTTCGACTTTATACTTAAAGAACAACCTCAATGGCATATGGATCGTAACAAAGACCCAGAAAGCTTCCAGACTTGCTTTATTGCGCCATTTCTGTTTTCGCCTATTTTTTCATTCTTTTGGGGACAAATTCTTGCTTGTACCGGGGGTCAACCATAAATACCGAGAATCTGATAAGATAAACATACCTATTTCACAGCAAGATTCTTCGTACTTACCCTCAACGCTCGGTACAAAATTTCGTCGTTGCTGCGGTTTATGTTGTTCCGGACTGAGATATACACGTGCAGATATGGGAACAACCGTAGAATTTATGATCATGTCGCATTTGTGCATAGTTGAGAGTTCCCTCAGTCAATGGAAAAAATCCCTCAGGTTCATATATATTAAGACCCAATTTCCTCTCGGTTTACTGATGAAACTGTCACCAGCCTTGTTGTGAGACCAAAATCTTAATGCTGTAGAGCTAGGTTTTCCCCTAGTGCGCCCGCCCTAGCCAGGCTCCACAACATCATCTTTCCCGACCATAACTATTAAACCTGCAATGTCACCGTATTTAGTGCTTATAAGCCTCGCCGATCTTCCTCCCCTCCTTGATGCTGATGCCTCGCTCTACCCTTCGCCCCTGACCCTCTCTACCCTCTCCTCTTGGACCTCCACAGCGCCATCACTCTCCTTCAAATATCTCCCCAAGACCGAGAGCACTTCGCCATGCGGAGTATGCATAATTCTACCGCTCCTCTCAAGGTATTGGGAAGCATTGATCAGAGGTGAGCTGAAAGAATGGGATATAACCCCAGCTCACCTCGGCATAAAAGATGAGGCTGTAGGGCTACATGTGTGGCATATTGAACGTTTTGAAACATGGCAACGGGATTGGGGCCGCTTTGGATCCTGGGTCTGGAAGGATCTAGAAAAGACCATAGAGAGAATGGTGGTAGGTGGATGCAAGGGCGTGATTGGATATTCAGGTAAGCATATAAATTCATGTCGTGGAGCTATTTTTTGATAATGACTCGGATTGTAGCACTTTGCGTAACACCTGCTGGAGAGTATCTGTTTCGTGAATTATTGGGCTTCGTAGACTCGCGGTACTACAGCGGACAGGTCGTTATTAAGGATTCCGGCTCCGGCCGCACAGAAATTGTGGAAAGGGAGGTGTGGGAAAGAACACCAAATGAGCAAAAGAAGGGAGAGATTGTGGCACAGTGTAGAATGTTGGTAAGATATTCTTAGGGATTGGCTACTACATTGGATTATTTAGGCTTGTTGCCTTGCCCCCGCTTGCTATTCAGCATCGAAAACAGCTTCGCATCTAGGACTATAACTAGAATAGGGAATACTAGAGTTGAAGGTACTTATTACCACATATTGGAAGAGAACTACTATTCAATTGATATCCAAGTAAATTTTAACCACCTATCTAATTCGGCTTCGATTTTACAGCCGGGCAGAGGATACCTAGGACCTACATGTCTGCTACCACGTGAGATCAATTGATATTCTCAATCTTAAATAAAACCCTTCCCTGCGGAGTAGCTATCTGATTGGATACCATCTGATTGGATGCCACTTGAGAACTGCGGGCGTGGAGATACATAAAACCACCGGAGCTATCGCCATGCAGGCTCGGTGCGCATTCCCCAACAATTATGGTTCTCAAATGGCTTCCATGGTGGCATCGCAGAGCAAGGCTACAGTGCTGCTATCAATCACTGAATGATTATTCTAGGTTTCCTCGAATTGCGGTTGATATATGATCAATACCATTCCGCCTAAAGGGGTCTTCAAATGTCTGACTGGACAATTCATAGCACATGATACAGCTTAGATCTATTCGATTCCCCGAAGGACTAACTTGCGATATTTGGCTAAAGCCACTCTCAAAACCTTTGCTCGAGCCAGAGAGATTTGCTTTGCAAACAGCTCTCCGTCAGATTCTAAAAGAGTTATTCTTGCCGCTCATGGCCAAACAGGCACTCCTAAGAGTCTCTAAATCAGCAGCAAGAGCGAGACCTGTTAGGTTAGTCTGCTAGTATTAATTCCAGTATACAATCTTTGTCAGTCTAAACAGTAATCTTGTTACTCGCGTACTGCGGTCGTACTCCCGGTCAGGCCAATCCTGATAACGCCTATAATCATTGGCCTATCTCCTAAAATTTGGGACCAGCTGATATTTATTACTAAAGTAAGCTATAGCAAACTAGATTCATGTAAAACTAAATTATTATGCACGGTCAAGCATCCGGGGAGCATCATTTTTACCGAACTCAAGTTTTCTCTCTGAGTTCCTCAAAAGAACACAATACGGTCAGCAAACTCCTCTGGAAAACGAGCGGAATCGAAGCAGCAACGAAAATATGGAAACAGTTTACCAGGTGGAGACATGAGAGGAGTGGACGAGATGAAAATGCGGAAGAAGAAAGAAGAGAACTGTGATACGGGTGGGGGACGTTGAGAGACGCTGGGGACGAGGAATAGGGCAAACACGATGTAATTTTATATACATTTCCTATGTCAGGCAAACGTGAGAGGAGGTGGAAGAGAGCGGGTAGTTCAGGGGCCATTTCCATAACTGTAAGGTTGCATGCAATTGATGAATTAAACAAAAAAACAAAAATGCACGGTCAAGCCTGAGGATATTGTGGGGAAAACAAAAAGCGTGGCCAGACAAAATGAAAACTCTCAAGAAAAAACTCTCAAAATTCGCACCAGTTACAGGCATTGATGTGTCATTTAACCTTTCACTCAGGGTCGAAAGCTCAACTCAGGGCTGA